ATATTATATAACATTTTTTTCTTCTTATCATCTAAGCAACCTAATATGTCTCTATGACGCTCGAGTAAATCCTCAATTTACATCGTGGGCTCCCCTACTATATAATGTGTGTGATGTGTATAAATCGGGCTTCATTAGGAAATCCGTTAGATTTGACTTGATCTGAGATGAATTTTCTCTTATTCCTCAGAAAAAAATATCGAAGTCGTACTAAATTTTTTCAAGATAAAAATTGTTAACTTCCCAAGGTGGCCATTTTTATGCACTTGCATGTATATTCGGAATTGACTGTTCAATTTTTTTATACTATTCGAGAACATACTCGTAATACACATATTTGTCGATTGAGTCCGTTGATTATTTCTTAATTATAATACACAATTATTCTGACATAACAAAAATTATATTATTGATAAAAATAAAATAAAAACAACAATAAAAATTAATTGGCGCTCCGGGGCGACTTCATTGATTCCAGTGGAGCATTTGCTTTTTCAGCTGCAGGAAAACCCGAAAAAACCTGCAGCACCACATCATCTGAAGATCTTGATCTAACAATGTCCTCTCTCTTATAAAACAAAATGTAGGGTGTCTCCAGAAGCTCCAATAAATTCAATGCATCGCCAGAACACTTCGTGACACGAGCATCTCAAATACTTCCTGGACAGGTGTGCGGTGCCATTAACACAGACTCCGGTATTGATATTGTCCGCTTGTTTCCAACAATAAAAGTATATATCGTTCTGTTTCTCCGTCATATATAAAAAGAAGTGAAACCAACTGCGACAGCAAATTCAATGTGGGAAGTTCACCGTGGAGAATAAGTGGGTTGGGATTTTACTTTCACTGAGATGTGTTGACCAAATGAATAATCATTATAAATTTAATCTATGACAAGCAACTCATTTCATTGAATCACTTTAGTATTCTCGCAAATTTCATTGAGTTTTTTTAGTAGATGATTCGACTTCAATTCAACGACATTGTTTTCACTGCACGGTTTTTATTAGTTGATAAAGTATGTTGAAAGTGTATTTTATTCTTAGTTTCTTCACAATTGTTGCCGAAAGTCATCCAACGATGTATAAGTTCAACGAAAACAAAATTTTGGAACCAGGTAGGTAATTTCTTGACATTGTTATTCCTATTTAACACAGAAAATTAATCTGATTAATGAAAGAGGTGTATGATTATGAACATTTTTCAAAATCAAAACACTAGCGAGAGTAATATTACACAATATAATCATGATCTTGAACATTTTCTAAATTTTTGAGATTTAAAAAAGGGTTCAAAGCAAAAAATAATGAAAAAATTGAAGGCTTAGCTGTCAAAAAAAGTTTTCCGAAGATCATTTCCTTCAAATCAATAAAATGATGAAAAAATTCAACGCCAGACCACGAAAACAGAGTGATAAATCGCTTCTTCCCAACAGCGATAGATGAAATTATTGAAGCCATGAAATTATTATCTAGGTGTTATTTTCTTGAAGCATACGTGACTCTTAAGGCCTAGTTATACATCATTCTCATAATTTCAGTCATTGTCAATGTTCTGAATGTTTGCATAAATGCTCCTACAGGTTTAATTTGGTATTATGATTATGACAGTGACTAGGCCCTAAATCTACTGAGACAACTCAAATGAATGTGTAAAATACAATGAACAGATTCAAGAGACCGAAATGAAAATCGAATTCAGTGAAATTAAACTGAATACCTACTTAGGTGATGTACAGACGATGAATATAGCCGCATCAATTAGGTCGAGTGCCGGATCTGCGGTCTCATTTCAAGGCACGTTAGATATCAGCAATGAAATCATTTTGTTAATAAATACAAGTTCAATCATTTACGTAATCCGTTCATATAATTGAAAATTGATATTTTGTTCTCATATCGATGCATTCAGCTAAGAATATTTCAGAAAATAACCTTTAGGAATACTACTCCATCTTGAAATATTCCCAATTGAAGGTCTATTTTCTCAAACTCAAACTTTCTTGAATATTACTGGAATTTTATCCCAAGTAACCATCTTCAAGAAGGAGAAGATTAATCTTCTTTTTGAAGATGCTGTCTGCTCTCGTGGTACTGCTAAATAAGGAAGTTTTTTATGTTGAAAAATGGAGATGTATCGACAAAATGTTGAGCTCTTTGAAGTATCATTTCGATAAAGTCCTTCTTCCGACAGCAATGAAATTGACATATGTGTATCACTAACAAAATTGATTCAATTTCATATTCATGTCGATGTATTCAGCTGAGAATCCAGAAAATAATTTTCACAAATATCACTCGATCTAAAAATTTTCTCAGATAAATACCCATTTTTTTAACTCAACTTTTGTTATTTTTGAGCAATATCAATCGAGCTGGCTGAACACAAAATTTTGGTTTTGAAAATGAATTTTCTGAGTTAATATTTTTTTCCTTTTATGGAAATACCATCAATGTAAATATGCCATATCCAAAATGCAATTGATGAAATTACGTGTACTTCCATAATTTTCAAATATTTTGCCTCCGTCCTCCGAATGCGTAAGAATCTCTTGTCTACTACGACCTGATTGTATAGCGCACCAACGCCAAAGTTTAGTTCTGAAGCATAGAATGAATAAAATAAAAACACTTGTTCACACACCAGAATTGCATTAATTTTATCAGCCCGTATTGCATCCGTCACGTTGTTCATGAGGAGTTGTTCTAAACTAATTCCTATTTGAAAAAGTGAATGATAAAAATATGGACTGTTGGAATGGGACTTTTGAAAAAAATTTCAAACAAATCATTTGATTGATCTGACCGTACTGTATTTTAGAAAAAAATTCCTGATTCAATTTTTTTAATATTTGGCGATTCGTTCACATAATGAGAAAAAAAAAGAAATCTGGTCACATAATCATCCATTTTCTGACTTTTATTTTCCTTTTCTGGTATTCATTTGGAAATTCCACTTCAGTATTTCTAGACCATTTATATTTTGAGATGAATTACTTCATATGGAATAGAATACAGAGTTTAGAGAATTTGCTGAAGTGTGGTAAAGGAGAATCTGAAAAGTTCACCCCGAAAAGTTACTGCGTGATTGATATACAATACTACTAGAAAGTCAAATTAGTCAGTAACTAGTCGTATTCATAAATTTTGCTACAAATTGAAAAAAAATCAATTGAAAAATTAAATATTGATACTTAGCTTTCTTAAGTGGTTAACGTTTCATAGAACAATCCTGTTTGTACAACTGTCGTAGAAAGTGACATTTTTAATGGTTATTAAGAATGTTGAAAGATGATGTTTATAAAGTAGCGTGTTAAAAATATTTTAACACTAGTGTTGAAAGTATTTTAACCACGACTTTTTTCGATCAAATATCAATGAACAAAACATAATTATTCAATTTCCAAGGAAGNTACCTATCGATCCATATTTTTGATTTCTCTTCTAGATAGGCTAAGAAGACGGTTTCCCTGAAATATCCTTCGACGTTTTTAAGTCTACACCAGCTAAAAAAATTAGAATATGCGATGTCGTACTGCTGAGCAGATTCTTTGGTAACATCTCAATTGAACTTCTTTTTGCAGCCTCTTCAATATCGTCAGAAACACACAATTCCTCATATTGTTCTTCATTATGCAAGACATTAAACACCAGCAAGAACTTTAAATGTGACTTTGAATAAAACACATGAGGTGTAAACAATACTGTTTGTTGGTAATCTGGTGATTCGAGTAGGAGATTTGAGCTCGTTCTGAGCCTCCCCCAACCACTATGACGCCACGTGGGGTGGATGACCTAGACCGACTCATGTGACCTTGAAAAATATGTCTGGTGCATATGACCTTGAAAAATATGTCTGGTGCATAGGTGGTATGTGTACATCACAGAGAACAGCATGGTCTGGGCCTCCCCCCACCACTATGACGTATTAATTGCTTTCTTTTTGTTGTTGTTTAGTAACATCAAGGCGATGTGACCTTGAAGGGTCTGGTGAATGGATCGTTCAGAATTTTTTTCATATGAGATTTTGTGTGTGTGTGTGTGTGTGTGTGTGTGTATGTGTGTGTGTGTGTGTGTGGGTGTGACATAGTGACGTAATTACATTTGATTGGTGTGTGTGTGTGTGAAAATGCACGGTACAGGGTTTCATCATGTGCTTGTCTATGTACAAACATACGTCTGCATACTTCGAAGATCCTTCAAGTAATGAATGTTCCATCGATGTGAGCCCACCAAGTTAGTAATGGTGTGACGTCACAGCATCAACCGTTCAACGGTAAGAGAGCGAGATGTTCACTCCACGACGTGCGGCTGAGTAATGCGTATTCATCGGTGTGCCCTCACCTCTTTCGAAGCAGTGAAGACTGTGACGTAACGCATCGCTCTAGCCTCGCTATCGATGGTGACACGCAGGTGGCCGAGGACTGTGCAAACTTCTGCCCTCTCCGAGAGCGCAACGACCACTGCCTGTTCGTATCGACATCTGTTATCGCATCCAGTTGGGAGGTGGGCTTGGCTGTGACGTCAGGCATCTCTAGTGGGTAGCAAAGTAGGGTGAACTGAAGAGAGTTAAATAACGTGCATTTGTATAGATAATATTGTAGAATCTCATGAAGTATTAATCTGAAAATTATCAACATGAGCTGTGCCAAGGTATGGTTAGGGCAAATTGGATAAATATAACAATTGACAGAAATTCTCCCTATTATAGTAAAATTTGACCTCACATTTTCGCTTTGGAACCTCATTGAACTATTGAGGCCCGCGTCGGACTGCAAAGTTAAAGGTTATAAAATAATTAGAGATGAGTAATGAGAAGAGTTCATTGCATGTATTCAAATGATTCAACATGAAACAAACCAATAAAGCACAAGTGATAAGAAATGAGAGTTCAGAGAAATAATTCTTGTTGCTTGTAACTATCCAATAGGATTTGAGATCTGAATCTTGTGCAATGTTATATTCATGATGACAAATAAACAAAACAGTTATTATTTAGGTCTATTTTATGTACGGAAAACACTGAAGAGAGTGAAATTGAATTACAGAATACATATGCGGAAGAGAAATAAATATAGGTGGGTTTGGAAAAATCTTGAGGTTTGGTTAGAATTTAGAAATTGTCGAAAGAGACAACTGCTTTGATGAGCCGATTTTCTATAACTCATATTCAAGAAAAAAGTCAAAGACTTTTTGGTAACAAGTTGTTTTTACTTCCTGATAGAGTATGAAAATAATATTTTTGTGTAACATGTGCTACTATTGATATAAATGCCATAAGATAAAATATCTTTTGTAAAATGTGACGTGTCATATATACATTCATGTATCAAAAAAGATGACAAATCTGACGTTCTAGTTTTAGTTGAGTATAATTTAGATCTGAGTCTAATGAAGTCGAGCATAAGGTTTCCGTGGTTCTCATCCTTCATCAATTCACTCACTTTCTTATTCGCTCGGGGAATATTGTAAATGATATCTGATTGATAATCGCTAGTATCGAAATACTGTTGACAATCATTTTTCATCATATCATATGGATCATAATTTATAATTTCATAAATCAAACTGTCCGTGTCAGTATGAACTGCGCAAAAATTTTCTCTATACCTAGGAACCATGTACTCATAATGGAAATTATATGTGGTCAATTTTGCCCAATCCAGTACTACCATTCCAACATTATAGGTTTGTTGAAGAATATTTTGGATTTCCTTTTCCTTTGTTATCGGCCAAACGGCGACACTTCCATTGAGATCCAATGCAATATTTTCTATAACAAAATGTGCATCATACCCTGATAAGTTATGAGACACGATGGGAATTGTTTGATCATCTTGATAGTTTATAATGCACTCATTGTGTGATGGTCATCGATTAATTATTTTTAGGTATTAGACGATTCTAACCATTCAATATATCAGACTATTTTGTCTGATATATTGAATGGTTTGTCATGAGTTGCTGCCTGAAAAAATGTTTCCTGGCTGGCAACACAGTTGCAACATCTTCAGCAAACTGACCTATCTCGTCTGCAAACCATTTCATACAATTTTTATCACGAAATGATCGATAAAATGATAGTAGTGTATCATCATAAGAGCGTTTCACATAATATCCAATAGATGCCGGAATGTGTCGTTGATATTTATTGCCATCTTGTTCAAATACCAATACACTCAGCATATATGACGGAAGGCGATGTTATTTTATTTTTGAAATTTTTGAACCTCAAAATATATTTTCCCTCCATAGGTGATTTTGGTAGGCATTCTTTTGTCTGCGAGCAGTCTTCAAGGTGTTTATCTAACAAAGCTTGCGTGGAAAAACAGTGAAAACACCTATGGCAAAAATATTTTTTTCTATTATGGTTGTCGAATTGATTACTCACCAAACTAGATAGATCTTTCATCCAAACAAAGTGTTTTCTGATTGGTGACGTAACATCATAGACATTTATTGCATCCTCACATCTTTCATCACAATACATGTCTTGAATCATGAGTAGATTCAGATGTTTGCTTTTATTTTTTGCTATGCTCAATCTTAGCGGTATTACAGTATACTTGGATTTAAAAAGTTTCAACGTGTAAACATTGACTGAGAGATCATTCTGCTCTTCGAAACTATTTATCTGAATAATTTTCATCGGAAAGTGAATACCTCACAACTTCAGAACTTTTGAATAGTCAGGATAANGCTTACGTCATATGGTATATTGGCTTGAATCTTGGATAATATTGGGTTTTAAGAAGAAGATGGTAATACATTTCAAATTGAAACATGTGTATTGCGACATGTAAAAGTTCATGTCGAGAATATATTCAGGTGTGAAAAATATGTCTTTTTTGCTGTAAAATGGTGTGTTGTGTCTGTATACATTGTTTTGGAGAACTTTCAAACCCCGTTTAGCATGATTTTCGCAAAGAATGAACTTTGTATTCATTTTCACAGTCAAACCACAGTCCACCGTCAGATACTGCAATATACTATTGAATTTCAAATGATTAGATTGTATTGCAATACGTGAAAGTTCTTGTTAGGCGAGCATATGCCTGTGTGAGAAATATCAATCTATTCTACTGCAAAATGGCATGACCCTACGCATCTCTTTTGGAAACTCCTCAAATCTCCGTCTAGCATAACCTGGGCAGTGAGTAAACTCACGTTCAGTTTCAAGCTCAAACCAAGCTGCTCTGTCAGATCTTGACATGGTGGGGGAGAAACAGACCAAAGTGAGAACAAACCAGCTTTTCAGTGGAAATCATATCAGTATCATCTACTATATGGCTTCAGATTTGTAATAAATCATGTTTCGAAAAGAAAAACGTAGTGTGACCTTTCAAATTATTACATCATTTTTAAGCATGCGGAAGTTCATGCAGGGCATGCATATGTGTAAGAAATATCAGTCTGTTCTCCTGTAAAATGTCAAGTGTTGACACTACATGTCTACAAATCTCCGTCTAGCATGACATTGGCGGAGAAGTCAAAGTTAAATTTTAGTCATCATTTTTGATACATGAATGTACATATGACACGTCACATTTTACGAAAGATTTTTTATCTTATAGCACTTATATCAATAACAGCACATGTTACACAAAAATATTATTTTCATACTCTATCAGGAAGTAAAAACAACTTGTTACCAAAAAGTCTTCAACTTTTTTCTTGAATATGAGAAAATATGTTTCACTTCTGTGCTGTTAATACATTTTGCCCCAGCTGTACTCATTATGGTTTATTTTTCCCTGATGGAAGTCGTTTCTCCATCTCGTTTAATGACAGTGAATTTCCTAATTTCTTGTTAGCAAATGGGAATCTACATACATGAACGTAGCTTAATATTTTGAGTGTCCCCAATTGGTAATATTCATATTAAGCTTAAAATACACTAGACCATAGTATATATCCAAGAGATCATGTCTCAAAAAATTAAATTTCATTGTTAGGAAGGCAAAATACGTTTTTCAGAGAAGTGCACAAGTATTCAATGTGATTATTGAAAGACAATTCATTGTCAACTTGTGTTCCAAGGAATTTTGTATTCCGTTGTTTCGAAACCTAGATTTATTTGGAAAGGGCGCTGATACCTACTTGAAAACTTGATAAATGTTGTTTTATTTCCATTATTTATTAAATGATTGTTTCTACACCAACATTCGAATTCATTGATTACTAGTTTCGTTTCATTTTCAATTTCATTCAGATATGGGGACGTCACAATGTTGTGTCATCGGCATACATGAAAAATCGACCCTCGAGAAAATCCTAATATTTAGTTTCAAGGTTAAACCAAACTTCACCATCAGATTTTGTCAATGTGTGGAAAAAAAGAGACCAAAGTGTGGCGATACCCACGTTTCAGTTGAAGTTACGTCAACATCATCTACCATGTTGCTTCAAATTGTAATGTAATTATATTTCAAGAAAAAATATAGTGTAGCATTTTGAATCATCATTAAGTATGTGGTACGTAGTTCATGTTAGACTTGCATATGCATGAGAAATGTCAGTCTGTTCTCCTGTAAAATGTTATGTGTTGAGTCTACGCATCTGTTTTGGGGCAGATAATAACCTTGCATTTATTTCAAAGTCAAACCAAACTTGCCGGGTAAATCTGGCAATGACAGGTGAATGAATTTATTTTCGATCAAAGTGATGGCACATCCTACTTTTCAGTTATAGTNTCGCCTTGATGTTACTAAACAACAACAAAAAGAAAGCAATTAATACGTCATTGTGGTGGGAGGAGGCCCAGAACATGATGTAAGCTGTGATGTACACATACCACCTTTGCACCAGACATATTTTTCAAGGTCATATGCACCATACATATTTTTCAACGTGGCATGCACCAGACATGTTTTTCAAGGTCACATGAGTCGGTCTAGGTCATGCACCCCACGTGACGTCATAGTGGTAGGGGGAGGCTTAGAACCAGCTCAAATCTCCTACTGATTCAGCGTCACCTGACACTACCAATTCACAGCAAATGCAATAACATGAAATAATTAACTGACAAGAGATGTCGAAATGTGTTTTTATACAAATATCAAATGTATCAATTTTATTATGAAAACAGGACAGGTGTACAAAAAACTTTTTATGATATTTGTGTTAAAAGTAAGTTTTATTTTGTTCATGAAACTTTTTCACTCACAAAATAAAACCTTACTCTCTGTCTCTGTTTAAAATCTGTTTTTCCGTTAACCAGCTGTTGCATCCCTACGAACAACAATACTCATAAGTCGAAACTTGTGCGAGCTAAGGATTAATAAGGTCTTACCTTTTAACGTATGATTCCTAACAAGTGAAAATCTATCGTTCAGACTAGGGCTTGAACCACCGACCAATACGGCAGTCAATTCGAGTGAGTGAACAAAGCACCCACGTCGAACCGACTAGGGCTTGAACCACCGACCAACACGGCAGTCAATTCGAGTGAGTGAACAAAGCACCCACGTCGAACCGCCTGGCTACCGACCACTTTTAATACTCGTATCATAAATAGTCATTTCCGTCTTCGAAACCTGTATTCACTAAAAAATCTCGCCTCAAACTGTGAACGACGAGTAGTGCAACACTATTACGTTTCTTATAAGAAAGTATTGAAAATTATACCTTTTTACGTTAATTTTGTTTAATGATGATATTTTCATTTGTTCAAAAGTATAAACTATATAAAACTATAAACCACTGTATATCTCGTAGGAGATATCTGTTTTTCCGTAAGCCAGCTGTCGCGTCTATGAATGACAAATCTCAAAAGTCAAAACTTGTTCGAGCTGAGGTCAAACGAGGTCGTACCTTTCAACGTGTGATTCTCAAGACGGGTTGGATAGGAAGTGAAAATCAATCGTCCGGCCTCGTGGCTTGAACCACCGCTTTACACAGATGTCGATACAGTGCTTCATGAAAAAAAGATCAACCACACCTTGTTGGTGTCTCTTTTACTTTTTGCTCTATCATTTGCTTATGTTATTTCTCTGTTACTGATACAAAGTAATTTTTGATTTCAGATTTAGTACCAGTTTCTTCAACAGTAATACCTCTTCCAGTATATCAAGTAGGATTTGGGTTGAAACTGCCCTCAACTCTTGAAAATGAAAAACCAAACAAACCCGAAGGACCTGTTCACTTAATCACTGGTAATTTTATTCATTGAATTGGTAGATGACAGAGAATACTCCAAAGCTATGGAGTAGCAAAAAAATATTGTGTCAATAATGTAATTATCATAGTTTCCAATATTCAATAGGAATTTGAATTTCTCTAACAATGAAATGAATGAAACTGTCGCTAATCAGTTTTCAAAAAATATTTCATCATCAGTATTTGTAAACGACACTCAATAATTATAATTAGAAATCGACAATTAGTATTCCTCGTCGGCAGGACACTTTTTCGATTTCACCCTTTTAAATTACTGATGGGGTAGCTAATATTGAATAAAGGTTTACATTTCAAAATGAAGTACCTACTAGTGAAAATAAAATTCTCAATAAGAAAATAATACTCAAGTTCGTTTGAGTTTAAATTAACAAAAAACAGTTGTAGAATTCTTCCCAAAATGTTTGTACTTCCTACGCAATTTTTCAATTGGTGTTTTTATATTCCCGAAACATCTACCAGATCAAAACCCATGAGATTTTCACTATTTACTAAACCACGATACGTGGAGTAATGAATTTTGGTTTTGTAAATCCTCATAGTTCAAATCTCAGTGCATAAGTGCGTTTTGATACGACCCTTCATGAAGTTTCAGTTACTTTCATTAGGTATGAGTTTTTCGAAAATTAAACGGAGTATACTTGAATTGAAGGCATATGAAGTTTACAAAAAGCTAACATATGAGCCTAAGAAGATAGATCAGTAGAAATAACTTGATCGGTTGTTTGATTCCCCCGAGCAAGGTCTTGGAAGTAATGGTCAGTGTTGAAAGTGCAATTCAGCACTTACCTGAAAAATCGAATCCTTGTCAAGGATTTAAATTCAAAGTTTATTGTCTTTATGTATGAACCAAGATACACTAGCGGATTATATCGGTGATCTGCTCAACAGTAACCCTAAAGACAAGATGTTTAAAAATGAAATGTAGGAAATATATGGAGTGAGCTGTGAGGATTGTGACAAAAAACATATCGGTCGTTTCAATGAACAAGCAGCTCATTTCCGATTTGGAAGATCAGGGGGAACTAGTATCAATCAACATGCCTTCAAGAACGGCCATAGAATTGTTGATATCGGTACATATCATTAGGTTTTTGGATGCTTTCGATAGTCTGGAAATGGCCAAGTGTGGCATAAGAACTGTCAACAGTGACAAAGGTACTATTGTTCACCTTTTAATGAATCACTCTGTAAAAATTTGCAGAAACTTTCACGAAAATTTTCCGCAATTTTCTGCTCGAACTCAGTGATGTGTATAGGAAAGTGAAAGTATGACCTGTTAGATATAAATAGAGACCTGTTTTAGAATTAAGAATTAGTAGTCTTGTGGTATCACTTCAAATAAATCAATAACTTTGTACTAAATTTTCAGATTTTGAATCATTGTACTTTCAGAAATATTTTTAACTGGTCCTCAATGGTCATATAGAGAAGTGTTACTTCTCTAATACATTTTACTTTTTAATTTTGTACCGTGTATTATGTACTTTAATGAATTTCCGTCATATGTATAGAAAGTGTGATCTAATAATTTCGTGAAGAACTAACTGTGAAACAACAGTTCAATGTTGCACATAATTATTCAGAATGTTTACATCTATCATCATATACCAAATCCCACACAAAGCCTAAAAAAGAGTGCTCCTAATCATGTAGAAATATCAAAGCCGGATCTCCCACTACTCTGAGTCATATACAATATATAGTAATATTTATTATCTCAGTTGATATCACCGATAGAAAAAGCATAAACGCCATCAAAGTAGATTGTGAAAATCTCTTCCACATCGTTATTCAGTGATTTTTTTTTAAGATAAGCCCAGTTTATGCGACAAATCTTTGGGTTTTCCAAATCAATATTGAAAAAATTCCGTTCCAATATTCTCTTTTGTGAAATGACAGATTGGATAATTTTGTTTTCGATTCTGTATTGACATGACACATGAGAATCAAACAACTATTAATACTACCAGACATATTATATTTCTAGTTTTCCACAGTTTTGTACTCGAACCTGTACATGTACAGAGTGGATCAAATTGGATACTTTCAAAGGGAAACTCCTGTTTTCAAAATAGATATATGAAAACTGATGGCCGTGTCTGAGGGTCAAATTTTATGACAAACTTGATGGTGAAAACCGCATATCGATATCTATCATCGTTACTGTGTTACAGAATGTTTTTCGAAAATCTGCATGTTCGAAAAGTTACTGTAACTATTTTCCTGTCGAACATTTCTGGTTTCTATGAAAACATTTCCATAGAACTTTTTTACGTAGAATTCTATGGTGTGAAAAACTGATTTTTCAAATGAGATATCAATAGAGCTTGAAATTACTTTTTCAACAATGTAGTTCACTTGATGTCTTGCTGGAGTCATCTTTGAAATATAGAGCTTCAAGGCTTTTTCATGTAGATTTTGAAACACATACTTTGATCAAGTAGGCTTTGGACCATGCGGCGATAAAACAGAATGCAAATCTTTACTGGTAGCTGTCAAATTTTGATTTAAGCATTAAAAACGCTCTTCAATTAGTAGTTGTGGTTCAATTTTCAAACACATTCGCAATGAAGTATAAAAATTATGAAAAATAGGATATGATAGTCTATTTTATACGAACCGGGGAAAATGCAAAAGCAGCAAGTATTTTGTATCCAGAGAGTAGACAACCTTTCGCAAGATTACGACACAACCTAATTGATGATGGTCAATTCGAAAAGGAAAGGCCAAAATTATATGAATCAAATAGAAATATGGAGTTGAAAAAAATAGTCGTTTCAGGAGCTGGTGACAAAAATCCCAAAATGTCAATGCGAAATTTGAAAATATCAACAGACCTACCAAGAACTAACGTCAAGAGAATTTTGGAGAAACACAAATTCAATCCATACAGAACCAGAAGAGTTCATCAACTCAGACCAGGAGATTTTGAACAACGCATGGCTTTTTGCCAGCGGTTCCTGGAAAGTTGTAACCAAGTGCGTGATTTTTCGTTAGATTGTATTTGGACAGACGAAGCCATTTTCAACCACTACAGTAGTATGCTAAGGCCATTTGAGGACCTCCCCCTAGCTGTCCTCCCCCCCAGTGCCACCACACTGACTTGAACATGAAACCCTTTTTTTACTCTGCGCCTATGACTTGGCCTTGAAATGCATGTGATGTCACATGACCTTGAGTTACATCATTACCATGAAACCCTCTTCTAACTCGCTGCCTATGATTTGGCTTCGAAAGCCGCAACGATTCTATAACCTTGGGCCGCACATCACATGACCTCAAAAATTACACCCGATTCTGGACCTCCTCCTACCACTAGTAACATCGCAAGACATATGGCCTTGAATGTGAGTGTGTGTAGTTTCAACTCGCACATATTGGTTAACTTGAATAACATCACACTATGAAACCCCCTTTTAACAATACGTCTATGAAGTAACTTCGAGAGCCATAACGATTCGATCACCATCGGCGCACGTCACATGTCCTTGGAAATCAGTCAGTTCTGGTCCTCCCCCTACCACTAGTGACTTCGCATGGCATATGGCCTCAAATGTGTTTGTGTAGTTTCAGTTCGAGCGTAATGGTAACTCGAATCTCATTGACGCGTTCTGCGTTCAGTCCGCAAGGAGACCCGGTGGTGAGAGGACGTACTGCAAGTCTCAGTAGGTACTCGCCCTTCTGCTAGGGCGATCCACTGAAGGTCATTACACTCTGATGGCTCGGTGAGCCGACGGTCGCATCAAAGGGTTCAGTCTAAACGAGGGACCCTGCGGTGCGAAGATGTATTTGCACATAAAACAGTGGTATTCTTGACACTCTGACAGCGATGTGTGCGACGTAATCGATACAGTGTCGGCATATTTCACATTCTTCCTTCGATGTATTAGGTTGTCGATTGCGGTTATTAAGCATTTGTGTATACGAATGCTCTGTGCTATAGTTAGATAGTACATGGATACCTCTGTAGTCTGTAGTCTGTAGTCTGTAGATTGCTGAGCAGCAATCCTTTCTCAAGGTCATCTTCAGACACAAATTTCAAGGTCATAACAATAGAACTCATTTCGGAAAGTATTTCAAGGTTTATTTTTTAAATGATTATTATAATGCACCAGACGGTCTCCTGAATTTCCTTTCAATATAATTATTACGTCATAGTGGTAGAGTGGAGACCCAAAATGGGCTGCCGTTGAATACAATGCAATTGTAATAGTTGTAATTTGGAGTAAGAGGGTGCTGCGAGTTAACGGAAGAAACTTTCAAATTTGGACGTTGTGAAAACATGACACCAATGCTATATTCTGTCTATAACTTGGCCTTAAGTTGCGGTGCACGCCGAAAGACCTTGAGTTACGTCATCGGTGGAAAAAACCCCTTTCAACTCTCAGCATATGACTTGACCTTGGAAGCCGCATTGATAACACCATTTCGGGTCGCACGTCACATGACCTTGAAAATTATAGTCCAATCATTATAGTAAGTTCACCTCGGAATTCGAGATACCCAGCTCTTAGTCTGTATATACTTGTATATTGACACACTCAAAGTTGTCTCAAAACCTACATATGGTAGGGTATAAGCAACTATTAAATTTCAAGGTCAAAGGTCACAAAAATCAGTTTTTTGCGCTTTTTTTGGAAATATCTCATTTCCTATGGGTTTTTTGCTATTTGTATTTATTATCAATATTGTAGAATACAAAATTCTCTACAAATTTTGTTT